TGTGAAGTCCCACTCCCCACGGAATAACCCTGGCTCTAGTCTAAAAATTGGTGAAAGTGATTATGTTTTTCTCGTTTGGAAATTTCGACGAAATCAATTCGTGTTTATGTATAATATTCCAATGTTTCCTATACAAATCATTTTTTCGTCAGTAGCAGTATACGCGTATAACTTCAAAATGATAAATTTTAAATTTGTTTAATGAAAATCGCTTAAGTATTTTTATTGTTATTAGGTATAGGAAGAAAGAACGGTTTTATACCGGGAATTAAGCGATCGTAGTTGATGTAATTTGATGTAACTAGGCTGAGCAGTGGCTTATTTTTTATACTGGGTAAAATATGATACGGTTAAAAAGAACGAGGGGAGAAAGATACTGACCGGGAAAACATCATAAATAAGGATTATATATACCAGTAGGTTGTTTGACCAACTGCAGCAAGCGTTATGTACGTGAAATGTGTATACTCGTAGGTATACCATATACAAGGTAGAAACCGCAGAGTCCGTTATAATCCGCTCTGAAAAGAAGAAAATGGGGTGGTGTTATTCGAAAAATACAACCGTATCTTAGATTTTCTCTATTTTTACCACGCACGTGCTATTAGAAGAATATAAGAGAATTTGCCGTGCATTTTAAATGCTGATCTGTATACGAACAATGATTATATTATTATGATAATTTACTGTTCAGTACTTAATATTAATGAGATGAAACTGTTTTAAAAAAAAAACCTGTCTACATTATAAATTTGCAGTGTATGTGTAAATACGACTTATATTCTAAAGAAAATGTGCTGATTATTTCTATCGATTCTTTTCGGATTTCTTAGTCCGTTATTTGAATAAGTATGTCAAAACTTGTCACATATAATAGTGCGTGTAAATAATCACATGGTTTAATCGAAGTTCAATAATGTTCATAAGTACTAATGAATTGTTATTTTAGATTCTGAATAGGGCGTGGAATGTATTGTTTTTACAATGATGTTTATCATTATTATTTTTTTTTTATACTGTGTATACAAATTTAACCAGAAATCTTTCTCTATATCAAGTGTTCCACCTTTTTGAAAAGACAATTTTATCTAGTTGGTACTTTAGGTAGGTCATTTTTTGTTGTTTCAAGCAGTTTTTATAATAAATAAAAAAACAGAAAAGTTTACCAAAATAATGCTTTTAATGTTTTCAATTTTGTTTTTTTGTTGTAATTAAGTTCAAAATGTTCGTAGAAACTCGAAATTTGAACAAAAACTTATATTTGCTTTTTATAGAGGTGGTATGATTTCAAAACATCTGTGCTATTTATAGATATTTTATTTTGAGTTTTAAGTGATGTTTAGAATTTTCGGACCAAACAGAAATAATTAAAAGTTTAACAGGAAGTTCGTTATAAAGTTGTACTTATTGGTCATCAAGAAAAAACTGAGTTTAATGTATAACCGAACTCCGCTCAAAATCGTTTTTTTTTTTTGCAATGATTAATCGTTTTACATAAATATACATTACATTCTCCTTTATATTCTACCTTTCTTACGTATAACAGTGGCCTACCCATCGTGCGAATCATGTCCATATTTTTTATATATATACAAATACATAGTGTAATTGGGCTATTCTTTATTTTTATAAGTTGTTTTCCATTGAATATTTTTAAGTTGTACATTCGGAGCGTATCGAGGGAGCTATTGGTTTTACTGTGGTTTTGTTTTTTATGTGTTTAAAATATTCGTAACGACTTGAAATTTTGAAAACGATCTTTTATATACCTTTAACAGGCACGTATTTATGAGCTATTTGTAAACATTTAATATTTGTGATTCTTTTTACGTAGTTTTTATTTCGTACCTAGAATGTGGATATAATTGTTCAACAAAAATGCTTGAACACTTAACAGGAGATTCATTATAAGTCATATATATATATAGTGGTAAAAAAAAGGAGAGTACAATGTAGTAATTTTTTTTTTTATAATGGTTTTAAGATCAAATTTTGATGAAAATCGTAAATGTTACGGCCTTTTAAATAACCGAACTTAACTTTGAACCGTTCTTCGTTATCAATGCTTACAAGTATAAATTAAATTACTTCATGAGTGTACATAGCATCCTAACTTTCCACTTACAAAAGAGGCGGTGCACCCACTAGCAGCTACATTTTTTTTTATTATTTTTTTTTTTTTTTTTGTAGTGATACACTTCAAATAAGACTTTATACATTTTCAAATCGAAATTAATTGTTATTATTTTGCGTAGATGTATTTTATCATAACGATCAAAGACAAAATAAAGTCCTCGCTCATCCGCTTAAGAACTTTGTCTATATACCCAAATGCAATTCCCGCGAATTAATAATCCCATAGTTGAATCTATCGAAAGGAGTAGGTACTGTACCTTCTCAGTATTTCGCCAAACAATGGACTGCCATCGTCGTGCTTTTTAGTACGATGTATTATTATTTCCACGATATTATTTTACAGACGCAGTGATTAATAAGCAACGTTGTTTCTCAGAAGAAGAAAATATAAATACATAGGTAATATGTAGTATCGTATTGTTTTTCAATAGCGCTCAGCATTGTTATTATTTTAAACTGCTAGTTTACGTCCTTGAAACTCTTACTGACCAATAAATTTCACTCTTCCGTTCTCCACCCAATACTATAATCCTCCCCGATGCACCCCCGGGTTGTTTTCTTTTCATTCCTTGTTTGGTGTTCCCACCTTGTCCCGGTACGTGCTAATATTATGGTCGTTTACCTTCAGCATAATATTCAGATTGAACCAACTTCATCAGGGACCGTTTTTTTTATCCACCAATGTCATGCCCATCGTATGTCAATATTAATATTATATTTTTGTAAACTGTTAATATATTATAGATGCAATTCTATATTTTTTTTTTTTTGTTTGTTTGTACGGTAAGTGTCTCCGTTTTACGGGACAGGACAATATTATGCGGTTGCATATTTTCGGAAAAAATGGCTTGAGTGCGGTTCACCTACGGAACAATGGTCTGCATCGCTGCGAAGCTAATAATTTACGTGTCGCTCGATTTATCGCATCTCGAACCGTATACCATGACGTTTATTTTATTCACGCCAGAGCGCGCGGGCACGCGTTCGACAATCGAACAAAACCCTCGTATAATAATTAAAGGGGTTTTCGGATGGCGCGAGTGGAATAATATTTCAGTTATTGTCCGTGTTAAGTGGGCCGATTAAGTTTCGGAGACGTTGTCTTATTTATGAACTTCCGCCGCTAGAGCTAATGTGACTTGCAAGTGAAATGTCCTCGAGTTGTAAAGAAAAGAAGGTCGACGTCTTTACGTTTTAGTAGCAGTCAATTTATATAAAATAACAATTCTGTTGCTCGCAGGTTATACTGCAACATTTTTATTTTTAAGGCCAGGGATTTCGATACAATATACTCTTTTGGATTCTGAGTGTAGGGAAAACGCTATTATTTTTACTAAGATGTAAATTAATTTTTTTCAATTTTGGTAAAAATCTTTGAGTGTTTTATTTTCATTACTTTGTACCACCAATTTTTTTAAATTTCAAGTAAAAAATTACAATGAATAACGATATATTGGTTTTATACTCGTAGTTACCTTCGCTATAAATGGGAAAAAAACATGGTACTTTTACTTCACCTCAGCTTACTGAAAATTGCTCAGAATCGTATTTTAATTTAATTGTTATAATTCATCGTTGATTTTAGTATATTAACGATATGATTCTGAATTTTCCCAATTCCTTACCTAAAAAAGTGCTTACGTATTGTGCCAATTTTGTAAAATTTGTATGTAGAACACGTTGACAAAATCTCAACGCTGTTAAAATATCGTTTATCTTACTCAATTATCACTTTTATCACAATGTATCCTGTAGTGAACGTAAACAATAATATTATCGTAAGAAAATTAGGAAGGGTTTTTTTTTTTTTTATTTTAAACCGTAAGAAACACATTTTAAACGAATTTCTTGGAATATTTTGCATACTTTTTAAGACATTGAAATCTCAGCGAACACGGGTTTGTAGGATTTACACCGATGGATCGTTTATTTTTTTTAAACTTTAATTTTATATTCTACTCCGAATGGCCATTTTGATGTTACAAACTGCCATAATACTGTTACGCGTACCAGATCCCTGTATCGTGTTTATTAAAAATTTAAACTTAAACATAGAGGGATGGAAATACGTTGATGTTGACGACGTGCGCCTGCTGTAACACTGCATTATTGAACGGTCCCGACGAATTTGTCTTGTGTAAATATTGAATTTTAGGTAGGTAGTTTATGCGTGTATAGTTCTGCGTGTGGATCATTGTCCGTTACATCACAAGTCATTATAGTTTTGATACGGGATGCGTGTTTTTTTTGTTGCGATAAACCGTATCGAATGTGGTTCTAAAACTTTTGTATAAACCAATATTATGTAAAGTCTATCAAACTAATGAAATTAAATCGAACGAGGATAGGGCATGGTCTGGAAAATTAAAAGGGGTTTTTTTTTTTTTTTTATTTTTTTTTTAAATATCTATTTTAATTCGCAGAAAAAAAACCTGTACACATTTGATTGGTAATCCAGTGTATTTGTTTGATCGGGAAAAGAATATTGTGTAGTAACAATTTGCCACGTATTTTTACAAATTGCAGCGAATCGTAGCGATTTTTCAGTACATTTGCGTACAATCGGTATAAATATTTAATTTAAATTACAATTTATCGTTTATCGTCGTGATATTTTTGGCTTCGGATTTCATACTATACACGTGCACTTAAATTTAATCGGGTATTAGTCTTATTTATTTGCAAACAAATAATAAATGATTTGGATTTTTGTCATCTATACGATAATATTGATCTCTTTCAAATTGAATTCGATGTATTACGTATTGTATCATTTTACCATATTATTATCCGTATCAATCAATGACTATACCATGTACACTTGAAAGAAATTTTTGTTGTAATTTTCCTGTGGGGAAATTTGTATAATGTTAACATATTTTTCAACTATTGTAGAGTATACGTTACTATAGATTTTACCGAGTGGTATATGGAATTTTTTAAGTGCTGGTACCACTTTAAGTGTTTACCGAAAACAGTATACATATGTACAAGTATAGCATGCCAAATCTGAAAGCTTTTATGTGCGGTGTCTCTTTGGAACTCGCAATAATTCTAAATGATCACACCAAACAACACTACGCAATACGACTGTACGTATAGACGTTAACAGCATTTCAACGCGATACTGTTTTTACGTTTTGATTATGATAAAATAGGTATACAAATTTTATCGGAATCAATCGAGTGATTAACGAAATTAATTGTTAATATTTTCCACAGATATCATAAAGGGAGATTCATAAAAAAATGCTGGTTTTGAAATGCCTGCCGTTTTTTTAAAATTAATTAACACATTTTTTTTTGTGAATTTTAATAACTGCTTTTATTTAGGTTTTGTGTTTCGTTAAGTGTTTGTGTCATTATAAGTGTTAGTTGGTATTGCCATGAACAAGTATTCAAAATCGATTAACCTCGTTACGAGGAGATCAAAACTATACACCTCGAACTTTTAACACCTTGAGATTTTTTTCCCATGGTGATTTGTCAAGATTTTGTTGAAAGTAAATTTGACGTGTCATGAAAAAACTCGAAAAGGAAACGTGCGGACGAGTCATGATGAATAGTTGGGGGGGGTGATTTCATATTCTCGATAATACTGTTTTTCACGTATAAACCTCAATATGTTTTGAATAATAATTTGTTTATTGCTATACAAAATAATTAGTTCAAAGCGAATTTAAGTACGGCTTTCTTTATGAATACACCCTACAGATAACAACTATAGATAGCCGACTCTGTACGAGTAAATTCGAAGCTCGGCTACCATATAATACCAAGAGTGCAAATTCTATTATTGATTACAATAACGTATACACAATTAATTGAATGACACGCGTTATGTGACAATATGAAATTAAATTTATCACGAATCGTTTCTAAAACGTCCCGTAATAATGTATGGCAGTTAACGATTTATATTTGTGTACAAACAAACGAGTTATAAAAACGCTGACGTTATACCGATTTTATTTATTGAAAGTGTTTACACACCGATCTAATTATTTGTATGTAAAAAAAAACGCCTTTGAAGTATATTTAAGTTGTTACGTAAATTGTTCTAAAAAAAAAAAATAATATTTAATTCGGGTAATAGTTCACTTACTTTAGTGTTAGTTATGCATCGTTATTAATTTGTCCATAACGTCCCGAAAATGGGACGTATACGTCATATAGGTAGTAATTTATTTTATGTATATACGTTATGCGCGTACATTTAAAACGTATTTTTTTTAATTGTGTAGCTTTCCGTCTGCTCGTATTATGTCACAAACGCTAAATCTGCAAAACATACTGCGCGAGTACAAAAGTTATAAAACGTCTCGCAAATCATAATGATTATTATAATTATTCGTGCAGATTTCGTTTATGGCTTCATCGTCATCACGTTGAATGCTAGATGGAATCTTGTGCGGAAGAAGTTTAGTTAAGTTTTCTTTCACTCTGCTTTTGAACAATTTTCGTATTTTATTGTATTCGCATCTTTGGCAGCGTGTTTAATATCACGTATACCATTGCAAGGTAAATTAAAAAAAAAAAAAAAAAAATCTTTTTATCACTTGGGTGCGCATTCATTTAGTACAGCATACATCACTTTATTAATTAAGTAATCTATAATAATCAAATCGTCGCGACGTATAGAATTAGTTTTTATTTGATTTTAGTTTTATCGAGTATTCTATACGACGTCTATAATACATGGAGCATATTCGAGTACAAAACAAATATTTAAAATAGAATATGTGCACATGTATAATATACGTCTGTAATAATGAGTTGTTTGCGTATTATTTATCTATAACAATATAAAAAGATTATTGAATATTTTAAACGTACCGATAGAATCGTCGTATAATTCGTCTTCTTTGTCGTGTATTTTCCACGAAAATAGTTATACAATTATTGCGCTGCATATTGTGTCTGCAATTACGCATTACAATGCACATTTTCCCGCTTGTATTGGACATTGTAACGGTTCCATGTGAACCAAATGTGTTAAAACTCGGGAGTTAGTGTTGTTTTTTAGGCGGATGATAAAATTCTGGTAGAATTTCAATAAGAATTAAACCGTGTTATTGCGAGTGGAGGTTGTTTTTTAGCTTTATACGCCTCTACATAGACTCCCGAAATAAAGCCAGGTGGCTAAAAATTGTTTATGTTTTATGTACAGCGCTAGTAACAAGGATGTGCCTTTTGGAAGCTTTAACATTCAACCCCAAATTCCTATCATTTTTATGATACAATTTTTCTGGTTTTTTTTTTTTTTTCCTGAAGTAGTATAACAATATTGTATAATATTATAGTATTACGTTATAATATTGTGTTTACTGTTCAGTTAATTATTATTTTGCAAAGAATTTTTCTCTTGTACAAATAGAAGAAAACCCGATTCTAGCGACGGGACTCTGGTGATTATATGTATATTTATATAATGCCGGGTGATCCATTTAAGTGGTTATACTAATTATCTCGGAAATTATTAACTTTTTCCAGAACTTTTACTCAGTGGAGTATCATTTGTGCAGCGCTACTCTCCTCCAACCTAAACTTAAAAGTAGAATATCTCGTCAACGGCTTGACAGAAATCATAAATTTCAACACTCACATTTATTTTAACTAATCTATTTATGAATATTTGAATATAGGTTGCTATTTGAAAATCAAAATTAGGTAGTGGTTTTACCCCCAAAAATAAGGGTGACAAAAAATAACATAAATATAAAATTGCAGAAAAGCTTGTTTCTTAAATGTTCTAGAAAACAAATTCCCGGAAAAATATAATAATTTCCGAGATAATGAGTGCGCCCACTTAAACGGATTACCTGGTATTATACAGGACGATTCAACATTTTTGTTACAGCCATTTGATCATGTACATATTGAATATAGAGAAAAATGTATAGTACAAAAGTTTTTCGATTTATAATCACCTAAATTTCGGGGCGCTGTTTTTGAATATTATTCCACTATCTTCCCTGCCTAAATTAAAAGTGGAATATCTCGTCATCGGGTTAATCGGAATCTAAAATGTACTTAAACTAACACTCCATTTTTTATTTGTTTTATGAAATTTTGAATATAGTTTCTCATTTGAATTTCAAAAGTCGATCCCCTACATAACTTTCTCAGAAAAGACAGAAAAAAAAATTGTGTCAGTTATTTTAGATGTTTATAAACCGAAAAACTTTTGTCCTAAACATTTTTCTCTATTTGAGTATTTAAATGAAAATATAGCTGCAAGATTTATATTGAATCAACCTATATATATATAATTTAATCGAACAAATTGACAGTCTGTAAAGAGTTTATAAAAATTTAATTTTTTGACGCCTAAAAATTATTGATTTACTATCCGTTTATTATCTGTTTATTATTTTATTGTTAGTTTTTGTTTACGTAAACCGCGATAAAAAGATCTCGTGATACTTCTGTTTTTTTTTCTCCTCCGCCCGACCGAACATAACCCCGTCGTGGGTTTTTCAATGACAAATCGAGTGTATGCGTATAGCAACCGATATAGTTTTTCGCGAAAAGTTTGCCCGTTAAAACGTTACGCCGTATATTGTTAATGTATATTTGCTGCGTCGTCTCGGTCCGCGAGAGTTTTGCACTGCGGCGGTTATATATTTATAGGTGGGCCGCCGTCGTGCGACGAGTAACTCCACATAATATTGTATATTTTTATTTCGTATACGTTTTCATTTGGGGTTAACAGATCGAAAACGACATCTTGCGAGGAGACGGCTATGATATTATTATTATTATTATTATGTGTACACGCTACTATGATATACGAGCGTTTACACTGCGCGCGCATCGAAAACGGTTTTCGTCATAAAAGAAAAAGAAGAAGAAGAAGAAGAAAAAAAAAAAAAAAAGAGTTTTCGCCGCCGTCGCCGTCACAGCCGGGCAGCAACGATATAAAACAGATTTCTGAACGGACCCCGTTTTTAACGAAACGAAACGTTTTTATTGTCGCCGCCGTTTTTTAACCCGGCGTCCCAGACTCGCACAAAAGCCTGTGTATCATCTGCGGTGTACGTATACGCGTGTCGTTTTTCGTTTCCCGCGTTATAGTTTTTCGCCGTATCGCTTCCGGTATATTGTTGTACTTAATAATATAAATGTATACACATAAGAGGCATTTTATATTTTACGTATGATATTTACGCGATAAATAAGCGCGTCGGTTCTTTCGATTTTCTCCCGTCATTTTTTCAAATAAGTTCGATCGCTGATTTCTGTACAGGGTGATGTTTTTTCTTTCGTTTTTTTCATCGAAATCTAGCGATTTTTTTGCCAAAGATTTACCCGCACGGAATAGTTTAAACTTTACACCGTTTCAACAATTTCATCCCTACTCTTTACTACGCATTAAACGGATTAAACAATTGCTAACTTTTGATTTTTCAAACGGCAACATAATGTATTAACCCCTTTCGACACGCTTCCGATTCAGAAAAATGTGTATGTATGCATTACACTGATCGCAGTCATTAATGGGTAAATCCAATATTAGTAATGGTATGCGAATGAACATTTTTCTCGATAAGTCTTGCTGTCATTTTGAATCCAGTAAGAAAAGACAGGGGAGGTTTGCTATTTTATAATCGAAATTATATTGGTATATTATGTTTACCAAAATTTCAAAAAATACCTATTATAAATAAATCATAAAACGATTTTATATTCTGTAATAATTGCTAAAAAAAATTGATTCATATAAAGTAGGGAAACAGGGGGCGAAACGGAATCATGGGTCTTATACTGCCCACAATAGCAAATACTTGTTTTGATAGAGCGTTGTAAATGAACGAAAAAAGCATTTTCACTGGGTATAAACGCCTTATATATTAATGAAGACGCGGCACTTTTGCTTAGTATTACAATAAAAATATTAATTTGTGACGTCCATACACAATACGTACTATGGTGTTATTTATCGTAATATTTTACGTGTCAAGATTATTTTTTAACCAATAAATCATTAAAATAAAATATTAATAACAATATAAACTATACAATATTCATATATTAATTATAATATACAAAATTGCGTAAGTAGGTACTCCAGAACTTAATAGCTC